TGCTGCCCTCTTCAACGTTACAGCTAAGGAACAGATAGCGAGAGGGAGCCGTACCACGCCAATAGCGTGCTAATAGCGCCACGGGGAGGGCCGTGCTAAATCACTGGGGCATATCTTTCGCTGCGAATTGCGTCCCCACCCTTGAAGGCAGAATTTACGATGAAAAGTTAGCTCATTGGAAATAAGGGTAGAGGTGGTCAGTGGAGCAGGGATGAAGAAGAAACCATTTGGAAACGGCCCGAAACCCGAGAAATGGGACCCCTTCTCATGCTGTGCTCTTCTCTTCGTTCTCTCTGCTATCTAATCACTCGCCACGTATAGACCTGCGGCGAGTGATTAGATAGTCGGTGGGCGTACCCCGCCAACCGCGCCAAGAGTGAGCCATGCTAGATCGCCGAGGTCAAATCTTTCGCTGCCAATTGCGCGTCAGCACCCTCAGGAGGTCCGCCTGTCTCCCAACTATGCAATTTTCCCTTTCTTTGATCTTCCATCATCGTGAATTCCTCCTTTAAAGGATCCGTCTGTCGTTCCACTAGGTAAGTTTCCCCCTCAATCTTCGACCCTGTTGTGGTCCTCCTTTGAGGTAGTCTGCGGAGCTCTTTTGTGATCACGGTTTTCAACTTTGGAGACTTACTGCGCTGCAAATATGCCACTTTTAGTCGTGGAACCACCATGCCTCGCTTCCTTGACCGCTTCGCTACTGGTTGCAGTGGCGCAATCTCCCGTTGTGCAGCCGCTTTGTCATGATCACCCCTTCAAGTGTGCATCAGCGTGTTGCTAGCTCTCCTTTTCGTTCTTTCTGTCGTTTTGGCGAGTATAGAACCAAGTTGCCTGAGAGAACCAATTCATTATGATTTCTCCTCCATCCCCCCCACTCCTTCCCACTCCGCACTCCAAGGAAACTAGAATTCTTATCTTGATTGCTGTCACTTAATGCATGATTGAGTGTGATTAGAGATGCTAAAGCATTGTATTCACTATATTTTATCAAAACTCTGATTTGATTCATCGGAAAATAAATGCACATTTTGTGTCTAGAAGTACACCCCACCCTTCAATAGCAGTTGCCTCTTTTTCCTTTGTATATTCGCTTTTATCTCTGTCTTCGGAACTTCTTGAGACCGAGCTCTAAGCAAACTCCACCCACTTAGTCACGGTACGCCCACCATTAACATTTATTTCCTCTGTTTTTTGACACCCACCTCTTTCTTTCTCATTCTCTAAACTTCTTGGAACCGATTTATAAGGTTAACAGGGAACGCAGCGCAGTGTGCGGGTCTCCGCCCAAATCAGTATACTGGGATCACCTTACACATTGCTTTCCTACACAGTTTTCTGCCCTGACCGGCTTATGAGTTATTTGAATGTGCACTTTTTTCAAAGAATACCCCGTTTACCACAGGTTGGTCTTTCTGATTCGATCTGGCTTATCGACGTATATACACCCTGAACATCTTTACCCCAGTATTTGGCCCATGTCGGAATCGAATGTGAAACTTCGGTCAGTACCGCTCATTTCGATGCTCACTAGGGCGGGCCTCCGATTGGCTGATGTATGTTTTGTATCTATGGAGAAATGGTCCACCCTTCCCATATATGCCCGAATTTTCCATGCCAAACATAAGGAAATATGGTATTTCGTGGCGGATAATAAGGATAAAGGATAAAGCATTTGCCGTTGATCAATCCCTTTTGGGATGCGGCACGCATTCTACTTCCATTTGTACATTCGTAGTGGCGTTTGAATGCGATGTGGCCTATACAATGACTTGCGGGGCCAGCCGATGTACAAGTCAGTGTTTTTATCCTCCCAGACAAGTCTGGTACCAATTAACCGACCCCGGAGGGATGGAAGGCTTGGTTGGCCCGGGCGACTCACGACCCAGGATTTGATCCCCGGACCGCTCGCGTGGTAAGCGTGCCACTTGCCACTACACCACTTCCGCCCTTGCGGATAGTGTGAAAGAACGACAGACGAAGCGCTTTATAGTCAGTAGGATTTTTCCAAATCGGAAAATCACAAGCAAATCAGCAACTTCACCCTCTACAAAACAAGTAGGCCCTTCCGACGGGTCCGCACCTCCTCTGCCGTTTGAGAGAAACAAAATGTGCCACATTGTCAGCACACACTTGACCATGATCATAGCATTTTTTTGTAGACTTTATCCCAATCAATATGGATGTGTTGGTTTAATAAACAGTTCTCTTCACTACATTAAATTTGAGCAAGAAGCTCTTTGGAATGACTGCCGAAGAAGACAAAACCGCATTTCCAAAGGGCGGGGCCTGCAGTGCGCTAGATACATGTGTCCCACGTTTCATGAATGTGTGAACAGCGTGTGACCATCTTTCCCCCTATCGGCTGTTGGGAATTAATACATACCGATTGCGGCGTTGCGCTGAAATGTGGTCCCAAGCTTGCAGTGACGTGATGCCTGCTCCCTTTGGCGTAATACCACCCAGGAGGAGTGTGAAAGTATGTACGTTCAGGGTCATCGGCCTACGCATGTCTTTCTTAAATATAAGTATAAGTATAAGTATAAG